GATTAAAGAATTAAACTCATGTACTGGAAACTGAAGCTCTATCAGCTCACCTGGGCAGCTCCACCCTCCGAACACCTTCCAGAAGGTAAGCAGTGCCAGCTACCCAAGGTATTGCCAGAATAGCCGCTTGGGCTCAGGTCCTGACTTGGCTCACATTGATGTCGTGAGATTGATGCTTCTTTGACTCCTGAGATCGCAGGTCAGTAAGTTAGGCTTACTCCTTCCAAGATTTCCCTGTAACTGGAAAGGCTAAAAATAAACCTCAACAAGCTGGCTGAGAAGTAGATGAATGCAGTTGTTGTTCCAGGTGCTGAGTCTGAGGAGGGATCCTAACACTGTAGTGCTTCTTATTGGAAGTCATTATGTCACTTGGAAAGTAGCTTGGACATTTATGTCGTGTGAACTCCAAGGGCTGGTCGGTTGCTGCTTTACATCTGCAAAATGAACCTCTCAGCAGCTAGGCTAGGTCAATGCAGGCATTTCTGGTTTGCTTAGGGTTTTTCAAGTAGATTTCTGTAGAACTGTAACTTCAAATTCTTGTCTTAACACTGAGTAAATAGCAATCCATTTGATTTGCATGGAAGTAGATAATATCTCAGCTTTGATCTGGCCAGAATTAATGACTCCTCAGAAATTCCATGGAGGTGTAATTCACATTAAGCTATTTCTGCCCCAAAGTACTAAACCCAGATGACTTGCTGTAAGCTGTCATAACGTTGGGCCAGCCCACCTTTCCTGTAGGGCTGGGTGACCTAATCCTTACTCTTTATAGTGGAGTTTACTGGAACTCGCCACGACTGAGGAAGAATGTTAAGCAGTCTTTTGATCTACACATGAGTGGTTTCCCAGTTATCTTTGCTGGTGTCCCTCCATAGCACTCCTTTCCCAAAACTGCTCTTGTGGGCGTGAGTTGTAGTCTACTGTAGGCAGGATTCAGAGGACCAAAAATTGGACCATCATCACCTCTGTACTCAATGGAAGGAGGTATGTAATATAGAGCACCTAAGGCTGGTGGTCTGTCTGCTTCTTTGTGGATACTGGCATTACAAAGCTAGGTAGCTTCATAGGGGCTGAACCAGTCCTTAGTAATTAAGCTAACAGATGTTTTGATAAGACGTTCAGGATTTTGTAAAGAGGTTACAGGTGTAGCTTTTCATTCAAAAATCTGTTGTTGTATATCACTTTTAATTGCATTACAACTTCTTTCTCCCATAGGAGAAAGTTTTTCTTGTTCTATAGATTTTGCTTCCCCACATGGAGGTGTGCTCAAAGAAGTCAGATTAGTGCATAGTGTTGTCCCTGACCACTCTCAGCGCCCATGATGAGAAACACCTGTTGTGCTTTTTTAATCATTGTTAGGTCCAGCTCACTTGTGCTCAAATTAGTTCCTCACCTCAAATGTTTTCAAGTGCACATAAAAATCTGCATCATTTGTTAGCTGTGTATGTCCCAGAGTCATTTTCTTGACAGAGTTCCGTGAGGATAGGAAATCTCAGAGGTAATGAGTAGCATCCGTCAAGTGTTTCTGCTGAAGGTGGTTGATACTTAATCTGCTTTGAAACTCTTACAACATTGCTGCTACCAGATGCTTCACAGGAGGTTCAGTCCCTTACATCTGCACAGCTGATGAGCTATGAAGAAATCTGTGCATCTTGCATTCAGCAAGGAATGGTCAGAGATTCTTAAATTAACACTTTGGTGCTTAAGCTTGACTTCATTCCAAATTCTGTATCAGTGATGTTTCTTTACCAGGAAGAAGCTGCAAGTAGGGAAGTTCTGCAGCAGGTGATACTGAGAGCAGCGGTGTGCTGTAAGTCACTGACAGCAAGGAAATGTGCTGATGGACACTGCTGAGATAGATCTGTCAGTCTCTCCTTCCACCAGTAAAAATACAGCAATACCAGGTATTGCCTTCCCTTGGCTTTCCACCTCAAACCAGCTCAAAAACATGTCTTTTGTGCCACTCCCCACCGCTTTCACCACGAACTGAATGCAGAACATCTCATGCAGCTCTGTACCACATTTAAAATAAATCTGTTCTTAAAAGGTGAGCTGTGTGGAGAGCATTTGGGCTCCCCATGTATTTCACTCCCCAGTACCAGACATCAGTTGTTAACCTTTTCCTGTGTCTGGTGCATTCTGATACCTGAGGGAAGAAGGCATACCAGCTTGGCTTGCAACATGTTTTTGTGATGAGGACTCCTCATGATGCAATGTTGTCACTGACTCTGATGCCTCCTCCCACATTCTGTCTCTCCCAGCCTGAGACCATAAATAGAAACCTATTTCTTGCCCATCCCTGTGCCTGGCTTGGAGCTGTATTTCTTGGCATTATGCAGTGGGTTGTTTATGGCACTTAAACCTCACAGAGCTGTGGGAGGCCCAGAGACTAATTATGGATCTGTGCTCAGCTCAAACAAACCACATTATTAAGAGCCTGCTTGCTTGCAGGAGAGGAACACCTAGGAACAGCAGTTAGTTGGGTCACCCGTATCTTACCAGAGCCATATGTGAGCTGTCCCAGTCCTTTTAAGCTGATGTTTTTTCATGGCTGCACACATGTCAGCAGGAAGACTAGGTGGTCCATCAAGGTAAGGCCTCAAGTCTGTTGCTGGGGTAGAGAGTTCATAGGCCTGCTTCTGTGCTGCTAAGTTATTAGACAGCAGCTACTTGGCCTGGCCAGCGTTGGTTTGTTTGTAAGGATGGATGGAGTACTTTTGGCTAGTAGGAAGTGCTCAGATTGGGTTTCAGAAAGAAGGCTACTGTAGGGTTTGATACTGCTCCAAACATGTCAGCAAAATAGGAAACCTTGCTGCTGTGTTACCAATTGTGTCCTCATCTTCGTTAATGCGGAAGGCCTCCCACTAACAAGCTGGTTGAAGCTCCTGAAGCCCAGCACATGAAGTGATGTATGTTTAGAGGATGCGGTGGAAAATGGCAGTTATACCAGAGCCACTCAGTACTTGACAGCCCAGTTCCTGTGGTCCAGGCTGACTAATGCCTACTCCTCATTACTCTGTTAGTCTTGGCAGCAAGGGTATGAAATGAGACTGGGTAAAATAGCAGCGTGGATTGATACTTGGTTTGAAAACCCCAAGTGGAAATAAAGCGAAAGATGTGGATGCATGGGGATCTTGGTGGCCTTGTAGTTCATGTGTCCTCTTGTAAAACAAAGAAGGGAAACTAAGAACACCCACTGGGTTTTGGGTTTCTTGGTATTAAATGCTATGTCAGTGACACTGTCCTGTAGCTCTTGGCCTCTCTTCCTTCCTACAAAGTCACATTGGCCTGCTGCCAGCAGCACCAAACCCCTCAGAGCTGCATTGCTGTTTGCACTTTTGTTTGACTGGGAGACACTGACAGCACGTATGTTCCAGATGTAGCAAGTTTTAGAAGCTGCTCATACTACTTATTTCAAAGTCGTGCAGTCAGCAAGATTGCCTTACATTAAAAGCAATACCTCAGAAGGGAGGATTTAAGTGGTAGAGGAAGGTTAGCCGTGCTCAGGAAACAGCTTTGAAGGGCACAGCGGGGAATAGCCCAAGGAGCTGGGAAAAGCTGCTCTGCCTGAAAGGTTGCTGCTTCGGTCAAACAAGTGGAGTGTACCAGAATTCATGTCTCACGTTGTGCACTGAGTGTGAGGGGAATAGGAACAGGATGTTTGCTGTGGATGCGGATGTCAAAGTGATGGTCTGCACAGTAGAATAACCATCCAGCAACATCAGTTTGGAAGACACGATGCTTATCCTGAAGTTAAAAAGATGTCTGGTTTCCTTCTGCCTGGGTGCACATGCCAGGCCTTTACAAACCTACCCACTGTGCAGGGACACTGGTGCCCTGCCCACACCAGTGCTGGCTGCTGGACGACTGCCCCGAGCTCACCTACAGCTGGCCATCACAGCTCAGAGAGGCTACAGACAGCACGCTCCGTGCCTGTGCTTCCATGCTGCATCTGTAACCCCGATTCATTATCTCCTAATCCTTCCTTGTTCCAGAGATACCACTTACACATCTGTCGCATTGTAACAAGCAGGCTAATAACCATTTTGCTTGTTAAACTTCTGCAGCTGATATTAATTAAGCAACGAATTAATGTGTAGCTTTTCATTTCCTAACACCATTTCAGACTCACCTGAAAAGCTTATTTACTGCAACTATTTGCTCTGCCTTTCCCTCACATTATTATTCTTTGTGTATTAATAAATGCGCTGTTTCTAATACCAGTGTAATTAAGGGCACTCAGAGCACACAAGAGAGGGAAGACAAACTGCAAGAGGAAGAACAAACAGGAAAAAGATAGCCTGGGGGTTCAGAGGTAAAAGCATCTCAACCTCCAGCTGGCAGCATGCAGCAGGATTCACAGAGGCTTGTTTTGGAGGAGAAGGAAAGGATACCTCTCAGTTGTCACAGGAACTTTTGGAAGCCAACTGTATGTAGGCATTGCAATATATTCTGTCTGGTTGCAATTTCCACTTGCATTAGTGATGGTGGAGAAGGAAAAAACTCACAATACAGTTCACACAGGGAGAAGTAACTCTTTGCACAGCCTACATCCAGCCTACACCTGTTCTGTGGTGACTTTTCACACCCACAGCCTTACAAAACAAACGCTTCTAACAAGCCCAACTGCTCATTTCTTACCTTCAGTCTGAGCTGTGCCCTCATCACACAAAGCTGCCCCCTTCTTCACAGAGCTCACGGCTGTAGAAATGCTGCTCTTGGCTGGTGAGCTGCAGCACCTTCTGCCTTCTACAAAAGGCCAAAGCACTTGCTGCCCTTCCCCTGCTGCCTTTTATACCCCTCTGCAGGCCCACCAGCCTCCCAGCTGTGGGACTGCCACCGTGATTGCTTGTTTTTTAACCCTTCCTCCTCTGCATTAGAAGAAATCTGTTCTGCTACCAGCCCTAGAGACTGCTAGAGAACTGGGGCTGCTGAGGACTCCCGCAAACAGGTCTCACGTTTGTGACAGACGATTTGATGGTGCCCTTTCAGAGAGCTGCCCTGAACCTTACTAGGTGAGCAGCTACGGAGCTCAGACTGGGCATGCTGTGCTGCCTCTGCTTTCTGTTTCTCTCGGAAACGCTCAGCAGCATTTTCTCTTTAAGTGCTCATTCATCTCTTAGGTTTAATATTTTGACTCACATCACTTCTGCTTAGTTCATGTGAATGGTACTTGTGCACTGGCATGGACGTGGAGTGAAAAAATGAATCAATGTGGGCAGTCCCCTTCACGAAGGATCTGTTTGGCAGTTTGCACAAAGGAATTTCTCCAAGGAAATGGTTTGTTTTGTTCCCAACACTTTGCTGCCCGACTCCTAGTGACACAGAGCTCTGTCGAAATTGCTTCATCTCGCAGTCCAGCCTCCGCATGCCTGGTTTGTTCAGAGCTCCCTGGGAAGCTCCACCCTTCCTAACCAAATAACCGCAGCTCCCTTGTTCCTCCTCCACCCGTAGGCTGCGCTTGCTTTTCCATTGGCTGCCAGTACTGTCTGCACGTGGTGGCAGCCCAGCACTTCTCGTGGCAGTTAGTTGGCCTTTTGCTTGCTGTGCGGCAGGCATGATTGTGGGCACGGTGCTGTTCCAGCCCAGCTATGGCAAAGAGAACAAGCTGCTCTGCTGCCTTGGCAACGATGCCTCTGAGCCTGCGGGGTCGAGCTTCACAGGTAGGATGCTTAGGGAGGTTGCAGTGTGCCCTCCTGTTCCTGTACTGCCCTGTTGGCTTAGATTAGGGTGTGGGACCTCTCAGCTCTTTGTCTTGTGTGGGAGCAGGACTCAGATTGCCTGCTTTTATTTGGGATTATCAAAATGCTCTGTTTGTACAAGCGTTAGTGCTTCAGGAACACAGACCGTGTCAGCGCCTGATGGGTTCTGCTACTGAAGATGAGGTGTGTGTTGGGCTCTCATTCTGCTCTTGAGCTGAAGAGATCCGTAATTGTAGCCTCTGTGGCACAGGGTGGGAGGCAAAATGTCTCTTGGTGGTGGTGGCTGAATAGGAAAGCATTCATGTCCGGAGGGAAGCAAAGTGTACTGTGGGAATAAAGGAGAGGAAGGAGGTGGCTGAAGCCTTGCTTGTAGAATAAATGATGAGGTAAGTTCTCAATTGTATAGGAAATGAAAGCAATCACATATGATTTATGGTTAGGCTTTGAGTCGATGTCAAAGAGAACTTCCCAGTTCACTTCCTCGCCCTTGGTGTGACCGGAGCTCCCAGGCTGTTCAGTGTGAGGCATATCCCATGTGGTGTGACTGGCTGTCTCAGCTTCCTTACTGAGCTCTTTGTGATTACCGTATTGAGCTCAGCTTTCTTATCCTTGCACATGGGATGGCAAGGATCCCACACTGCACTGAGCACCGTAGGTTATTGGGGACTGGATGCCTGTGTGTGAGTTGGGTTAGCTTGAGAAGGAATCCTAAGCCATACGTTGGTTGTGAAATAAAACAAGCATATGTGTTTTTGTTTAAAGCTTTTGCTGTTTCAGCAGCTGTGCAATTGAAAGGAAGAAGCAATTTAAACACCATTAAAGTATTTCAGAGCAGAAGAGTCGGGGTGGTTTTTGGAAGCTGCCTGCTTTTGTGTTTGCTGCTTGTAGCCAGCAGGGAAGCATCACTCAGTTTCTCTGTGCAGCACACCGGTGAGCTGCTTTGCTCAAGGCACCAAACCCCCTCCTGCCTTTCTAACATGAGGCATTGTTGGAGTATAAAGAATGTGTTATTTAATTACCATCTATTTGTACTCTATAAAGAGAGCTGGATTTGGGAACCACTGTTCTTTTCTGTTGCCACTTAAGCTGTTCCTGATGCATAATAACTGCACAAACCTGGCCCTAAAAAGCAGCAGCCATGTGCTGGCAGCACAGCGTGGTTACTCTTTATCTGACAGTCTGGGATGTTGGTAATTGCAGGTGATAGTTGAGAAGAAGAAAACACAGAAATACTGCATCTGTAGAGAATGAAGCCATGCTTTGGTAGCTGTGGCTCTGTCACTGCTGCTCTTGCTAGGAGAACCTCGATAGGGTGGCACTCTGTCATGGCTGGGAAGCAAGTTATTCGAGCAGTGTGATTACCAGAAATGCAGGCAAAAGCCACTTAGCTGTGTGTTTGGGAACAAACTAACAAACCTCAGTCATTTCCTTTCCCATGTATGTATAATAAAGCTTAAAAACAATTGAACATGGATTCTGGGAAAGCCCCTACACTGAAGTTTTCCAGGCTTGAGCTCCATCACGTGGCACAGATTCGACACGTGTTTGCCTGTTACTTGGCATAGGCCTCTTCCTGTTCTGTCTCTCTGACTTCCCAACTCTCCCATCTGTGTTGCTCTCAAGCTCTTTGTTCTCTCCATGTGCCATGTAGCCTGGCTCTTGCTCACGTATGTAAGTCTCATGAGAATGTGTGGGAGCCTGGTGGGGTGGATCCTCTTGCAGCAGTCTGCTTCAATACATCCTGCTCCTGACTTCTCAGACCCTCAGGAACAGGCCATGTCTGCTTGTGGGGTGGTTTCATGAGTAGATTCAATGAGGGGCATTGGGAACACGTGGTGGGGCAGGAACAGCCCTCGTTGTGCCTTCAGAAGCATTACTTCCATTCTTACACTTACATATATTTTTGCCCCACATGTAACTGCCGCGTCTTTCTTGTGTCTTTATACTGAAATGCAGCCAGCTGCTTGTTCCTGGGGAAACCACAGTATGGATTGGAAAACCCTTTTTCTATAAAAACCATTTCACGACTGATTCTTCCTCCCACTTCCTTGTACTAGCAAGTATGCATCATCTGAAGCAGTCAAACAGACTTGCCCTGTGTTCGGGAACACTGCTCCTAAATACCTCGTGTTATCCTTATTACTTTCTATCCTTGCCAGTTTACCACTTTATTATTTGAAATGTGTCACAAATCACTACCATTCCTACTGACTCTGTTACTGTTGCATATTATTTGTCATAATTCAGTCTGTTTTGCCTCTATTCTTAACATTGCTTTCAAGTCCAAGCTACTTACTTCAGCTGCAGAAACAGACTGAAATTGTAGCATGAAAATGCTTTAGAAGTTCATTACTTCACATCAAAGGGGCATGTTTTATTTCTTGCACATACTGTGCAGTGGGAGCTCTGCTCTGCTGTGCGCCAGGCTTTGATTTACTTACAGCTGTAATTTCCTCTTCTGCTCTTCCTTCAGAGGCCCTGCACCGCCCCTATGGTTGCGACGTTGAACCCCAGGCACTGAACGAAGCCATTAGGTGGAGCTCCAAGGAGAACCTGCTGGGAGCCACTGAGAGCGATCCCAACCTCTTTGTTGCACTTTACGACTTTGTAGCAAGCGGTGACAACACACTCAGCATCACCAAAGGTGAGGATCTGAGTTGCAGAGCAGCCACGGGCTGTACGCTTAGCAAGAGAAAATAGAACCCTGCTGTTGTTCCATTGGAAAGAGTGAGTCTGTTTGTTTCAACATGACTGCAGTTAGAAATTATTCTCGAATCAAGGATTACAAGCCTATGGTCTCTCTCTCTTGTGTTGGAGAGACACCTGCTGGGCAGTTCTGGTACTGGTACACCTTGGAGTAACTGGCCAAGGATCTGACCCAGGTACATCCAGGCTGCCCAGCTCCCTGGCTGTGAGGCAGAGGAGAATCTTTACATTATTGGTGATACAGAATTCAGGAGCTTTCAGCTGCAGCCAAATCAAGAATTAAGAATGTCACAGAAGAATTTCTGTTTAGGAAGTATATCAGAATATGCCCTTCTGCACAATTGTTAAAAAAACAAATGCCACTTCAGGCTTCAGGATGGAGACAAACCTTGTTCTTCCAAGAAAAAAGGAAAACACTTATCTAAAATGTGGACTGCAAGAAGCTCTGTGAACTTATTGTTTACATTGCAGTAAATTTGGCTGAAACTTTACTCATAAATACTTTGCGTACACCAACAAACAAGGGTTAGTCAGCTGGTGGGGAATGTCTCTTAATGAGACCCAGTAGATCATATTGTGCTTCCTTTGCTTTCTTCCCTCCTGGCTCGTAGGTGAGAAGTTGCGAGTCCTGGGTTACAACCAGAATGGTGAATGGAGTGAGGTACGTTCGAAGAATGGGCAGGGCTGGGTACCAAGCAACTACATCACACCAGTGAACAGCCTGGAGAAGCACTCGTGGTATCACGGGCCGGTGTCACGCAGCGCAGCAGAGTATCTGTTGAGCAGCCTCATCAACGGCAGCTTCCTGGTTCGTGAGAGCGAGAGCAGCCCAGGGCAGCTGTCCATCTCGCTCAGGTACGAGGGACGTGTTTACCACTACAGGATCAACACCACCTCCGATGGAAAGGTAAGGATTTCTGCACGGCGCTGTGGGGAAAGGAAATCTGGCTGCCTTCTGCAGGTGAAAATTGCGCAGAGGAACATTCATTTGCTCAACACAACTGAGAACAAGTGCTCTTAACATCTGGTTCTGTTACCGTTTTTGTTTTCTCTTCCAAATCTGCCGGAATGTTTTTACTGTATCCATTTTCCAGCACAACTGAAAGCTCTCAGCAGCCTTTACCTAAGCAGATTCCTGATTCGTTCCTGACAGGTGTACGTGACAGCAGAAAGCCGTTTCAGCACGCTAGCAGAACTAGTGCACCATCACTCCACGGTAGCAGATGGACTGGTGACGACTCTGCATTACCCAGCACCCAAGTGCAATAAGCCCACTGTGTATGGAGTGTCCCCCATCCACGACAAGTGGGAGATGGAGCGGACTGACATCACCATGAAGCACAAACTCGGGGGAGGGCAGTACGGCGAGGTGTATGTTGGTGTCTGGAAGAAATACAACCTCACCGTGGCTGTGAAAACATTAAAGGTGAGTTATCAGATTGTTGCACGCTGTTAATTTGGTCAGCGTTGATGATAAGTAGAAGGAAATTGTAACTTCTTCAGTTATACCACCCACTGATAGGACTGTCTGAAAATGGAGCGTGCTGATCTGTATAAAATCCATGCTTTGAGAGCAGCTTTGCAGAACAAAGATAGCTTGTTGAGCTTGCAGCAGTGCAGGGAGCTTAGAAACAGCTTGGAATTTCGGCCCAATGGGCTCCTGCAGGAACTGCGTGTCCCAGGCAGGCCTGGAGGCACGGTTACCACTTCTGCTTCCCTTCCCTCAGAAAAGCTGTGGAAGCTGTAAGAAATCAAAGGTGTTGGAAGTGCGTTCCTACAACTTCTCCCATCTTTCTGGAAAAATTTAGCTCCTCCATTTTTATTTCTCTGAGAGCCTTCTGTTTGTTTCAATGTGACCACTGTTGAATGTTAACATTTCAGGTACCCCCCCACCCCAACACACACCTAAAGAAGGAAGATTTCAAATTTAATTTTTACAGCTAGGCAAAACAAAGTGACTTTCAGAGTCATCTTTTCTCCAGCCACAGTAGATACCTAGTTGGTAGAACCTAGTGCTTTCCAGGGGCTGCACATCTGTTATTTGGCTGTGCTGCAGGCCAGCTTTTCAGGGCTGTTAGGACATTTTTGCTTTAGTAAAAGCCAAAACATCAGAATGGAAATAAGGATACCATTCAGCTAGAATGTGTAGCGTTGAGCAGACCTTGGTCGTGAAGATAAATCTTCTCTTCTGTGTTTGTCTAGGAAGATACCATGGAGGTGGAAGAGTTCTTGAAAGAAGCTGCTGTGATGAAGGAAATCAAGCACCCAAATCTAGTGCAGTTATTAGGTTAGTGAAATACCTTGATCTTTTTGTTCTTATTCAGGTTTCTGCCAAAATGTGTCCATTTTGTTGAAAAAGAGTGGCAGATTTACTGACATGATTTTTTGAATCAGGTCAGGTTATGGGGCGGTATTTTTGACTGCTTTCTCCTTCGTATAGCAAAGCTGAGCTGAGATGCCAGTTCTAAATGAAACATCAAATTTATTGTCACATTAGTGACATGACTTTGCTCTTGGGGCACTGTGTAAAGTTAGCAGTATCAACCTCCTGTTAAACTGTGCCATTGGTTTTAGCCATTCTCCTGGATTCAGTTATCAGTGAAGTCACATTCCTCTTCTACTCAGTTGAAGTAGCCTTGCAGAAGTACATACAAAGATTCTTAATGAGACATTTTAAAGCTTTACTGGTGGTTAACTCCATCTGGACTTTTGCTGTCTTTGGGAGCAAAGCTGTCAAGCCAAGCCTAGGATGAAAGGAGAAATGTGAAGAATGTGAAGGATGTTAATAATGTCATCTATTTTATACCCATTTAAAAAATGGACACAGATGAAGTGGTCACCCAGCCCTGGCTGCTTCCAGACTAAAACAGTTTCTCATTAGAGATGCATTTTTCCTCCTGTATGTGGGTAATGGTACCAGCACGCACCCAGCAGTGCTGCAGTGAGAGTTCACAGAGATTTGACATGAGTGTCCTGTTGCCTTCCTCCTCCACTCTGACATGCTTTGTGCATAACTGCAATGACTGTAGCAAGGAGTAATCTGAGCAATGTGTGAGAATGCTGCTTTAGGAGCAGGTCCCACTGCTCTGATCCCTTACCCACTAGCATACACGGGAGTGCTTCCCATTACTCTGTCGTGACATTCCAGCCTGGATACCTGGCCCGCTGACAGGTACCCACTTCCAGTTGGCCACTCTTCAGCTTTAAGAGAAGAGGGAAAGGAAAGTAAATAATGGGTGTTCAGAATATGTCCCGTTCCATTCTGTAACCTTCCAAACAACAGCATATGGTAAGTATATGTATAGTACACATCCTTTATGCATAACATATAGGAAAAGGGGACCTTTGGTAGACAGGTTTCTCATCATCCGTGGATGGATATGTAAATAGAAGCAATGAACTTTAAGCTGGGCTGCACTGATCAGCTCTTGTAGACGAAAGGCCTGGATTTTCAGAGAAACTCTCATTGTTAGAGACTGCAAGAAATGGGAATTAAATCAGGCTTACTGGTAAGCTAAGGAAGAACCAGCAGCTTTATTCACATGCCTTCTCCTCACTGCTAGGTGTGTGTACCCTGGAGCCCCCCTTTTACATCGTGACAGAGTACATGCCATACGGGAACCTGCTTGACTATTTACGGGAGTGCAACCGGGAGGAAGTGAGTGCTGTTGTGCTGCTCTATATGGCCACTCAGATATCCTCTGCCATGGAGTACCTGGAGAAGAAGAACTTCATTCACAGGTGGGTAAGATGGCATTGAGAAGCAGAAAGGGACAAATTCCACAAAGACAGGACTGTGTTTAAACGCCCTGTGTGCTTTCTTCTTCATACAGGGACCTGGCAGCACGGAACTGCTTAGTTGGAGAAAACCACGTGGTGAAGGTGGCTGACTTTGGCTTAAGCAGGCTGATGACTGGAGATACCTACACAGCTCACGCTGGAGCCAAGTTCCCAATCAAGTGGACTGCTCCTGAGAGCCTGGCCTATAACACCTTTTCCATCAAATCAGATGTGTGGGGTAAGAAAACTCCACTTCACTGTTATGTTCTGTTTCATTCTGGTTTTTAATTTGCCACCCTGGAGAGTAAAGTGTGTTCTGGCCTGGGCAGAAAACCCATGGGAGGAACATACCAGGTCACAACTTCACAAATCGTTAATGTCTTCACCTAGGGCTGGCCTGAAGAATCTGCAGCAGACAGGTTCTGCCTCTAGCTGCAGCCAAGGCCAAAATGTAAGAGCAGCATACCATATGGGCAGTCTTGTGACCAGGAGTTTTATTTTCTTCCTTCTGCAGCCTTTGGGGTGCTGTTATGGGAAATTGCTACCTATGGGATGTCACCGTACCCAGGCATTGATCTCTCTCAGGTGTATGATCTGCTGGAAAAGGGCTACCGGATGGAACAACCGGAGGGATGCCCTCCAAAGGTTTATGAACTGATGAGGGCCTGTGAGTATCTTCTTCCAGTTTGGGGAACAAAGCCTGGCAGGGGTAGGAGAAATCTGTAGTCAGCTCCTGAGTCCTTACTTCTTAGATGCCATTTTGTTAGCTTATGTGGAAAAGTCCCTGTCACCTGAGACATACCTGGTCAGTGATGCAAAGTGAGTCTGGTCTCCAGGGAACAAGAACTCTCAAAAACTGTCATCACTGATTACAGCTAGGTAGCTTTTGTGGCAAATTGTACTGTCACTTGTAAGCAGGACTCTTAATATGGAATCACCAAAAAAGAAGGAAATTTTACTCAGCAAACACAGCACCTCTGCAGGAGACAAGCTGCTGACAGGGTCGCACAAACTCATCCTCCAAGTGTGCTGCTTAGCATCTGCCACAAAGAGCTCTCTAACACTGCATAACAAATTTTTAATCTACTAATGAAAGACAGAATAACAAATTATCTCCCACCTGTTACAGACTTACCCTGCTTTCTCACACTGCAGGTTGGAAGTGGAACCCACCAGACCGACCTTCCTTTGCTGAGACCCACCAGGCTTTTGAAACCATGTTCCACGACTCGAGCATCTCGGAGGGTGAGAGCACCTGTTGTTTTGTTTCTGAGCAGTGGTAGTGTTTATCCCCCAGAGTGCTGTCTCTTAAGCACAGGCTCTCAAAGCTTATCTGCTTGCTGTGGAGGCTGTGATGAGGCTTCGTCCTTTACTTCTTATCCTTATGTCTGGAAATACATGTCTTACTCCTAGCACAAATACTGAATAAACTTTAGATGTGTCAGTGCAGAGACAGCACAGTAATTAACTTGAATACCAAGATAACAAGGAGTTTGCCTAAAGAAGATTGTCTCCTTTACTAGAGGAAGCCTCCCAGACTAAAGGAGTTAGGAATAGCGAGTGATGCGAGGGGAGAGAGAAAGATGCACACATGCCACATTCTGTTTCTGATTGCAGAAATTAGTGTAGTGAAATACCACTGTCAGCTTTTACTTAAAAAGTCTGCCTCAATATCTGGATTTTCTACTTAGCTATTTTTTTAGGAGAAAATCTATGCAACTCAACTTTCAAATCTGGTCAGCTAGGAGAGGTGTGATACGAGGCAAAGGAGCCCAAATTGTTTCAGCATCTCTAATTCTGAAATCAAGTATGAAAAGCCACGCACTTCCCTGCTATAGAAAAATCACACCAGATGAAATTCTACCAGGGAGGATCTGTAACAGGCACATCAAGGGACAAACAAACAATAACCTGGGGCTGTACAGGAGGGGTTTTTTGGTTAGTGCTTTTAAATCATATACCTTGTGTTGATATTGAGGAGGAAACATGAAATCTTCATTTCTAATAGAGATGTGCAGTGTTTTGCCTCAAAGCAGCTTATGTCCAGAGTCAGAAAGGATGCGACTTTGAGGCAATTAACAAGAGGCACCTTATTTAGAAGGGAAGAAAATGCATTCATTGTAAACTTTAGCACTTGAGCAACCTTAACCCAGCAAAGAGCTAGATATGTACCAGAGCCTCACTTGTGCAGACCCTACCACCATTTTTGGATGGATTTACAAAGATGCAAGTTAGTTTGACTTCTATTTGTACAACGTGTTTTACCCTAAGCACCTCTGAATTTACAAAAAGCTAAATTTACAAACTTCTTGCGTTCTCAGTCACGTCTTCTTACTGGTCTGGGATTGCAGTAGAGATCCATATTTTATTTTCTTCTTCTGTATTTGTTCCAACTATTCCACTTCCTGTTCCTCCTTACAGAGGTAGCAGAGGAGCTTGGAAGAACAGCCTCCTCCTCATCCATTGTTCCTTACCTGCCCCGGTTGCCCATGCTTCCCTCCAAGACAAGAACACTGAAGAAACAGGCAGAGAACAAGGAGAACATTGAAGGAACACAGGATACCCTGGAGCATTCGGCATCCAGCTCCGCACCAGGTATGAGCTCTAGGGCACTCACACTGAGGCTGCGTGTTCTGGTGTAGATCTGCTCCCAGTGTAAATTGTCAGACAAGCAGAAGAGAACAGAACATCCACCAAGTGGAGATCTTTCAACCAAGTATCCTGCCAGGATGGTCTGTAAAAGTTCACATTCTAGTCAAGATATGATTAACGGTGTTGGCTTCTTTCAGTTTGTAGCCTGTCTGCAGGCTTGTTACTGTGGCAGGAGAGGCAGGGCTGTGGATACTCTTCCTGCATTAGTGAGGTGGAGAGATCAGAATGATGGCAGATTTGCTCCCTGAGGGAGCTGAGGGATGAGATGACTCACGGGGAGGAGCCCTGCATGGTCTTGTTCTTCAGTCACAGAACGATGCAGAGCAGGGTGGGAGCCCAGGCCCAGTACAGGTGTCACTTCTCATTCCTGAGAAGGCAGAGGAACTACTCTTGACAACTGAGATGATGTCTGCAGGCACGATTCCTTTGGGTCAAGCAGACTTCTCCATTCTGCTCTTGGTTTGCAGAACAAAGAACCCAAATGTTGGGACATGAAGCAGTTCTGTGGCAAATATGTATGTGGGCCTCCAGCTTTCTTCAGCCTTACATAAGCTGGAACTCAAGTTAACTCTTGTCCAGCCAGTGTTCTAGGCTGGTGCTTTGAGCAGCAGTGTCATGAGGGCTGTTTGCCAGCCTATTTGCTAGTAACTAGTAAACACTGCAGCTTTTGCAGTGTCCTTTTAGTAAATTCCATTACGTTGTTTTTATTTTAACTAAATTTTTAAGATAACAGCTTTCAAACAGAAATTGACAGTGCAGCAAGAGATTTTCTTTTACACTTTGCAGTATCTGGGGAGGGAGAAAAGAACTACAGCAAGGGGGTAAGAAACAGAGAAAAGAGCAGCTTCACTTTCTCCTGACCTTCTCCTAAATTGCCTCCCGAGACAACCGACAGGTCACACATGCACAATGTTTTTAAATCAAAAGCTCAAAAATAGAAATGCCAGCTTCCTTTCTCAGTCTTTCTCTGCAGATCCTGTGTAACTGAAATGTTGGGCCCTTACAGCCCTCTGGAGGATAGGGAGGTGGAAATGGAAATGGATTTTGTAGATTCATTCTTGTTTCTTCCTAGGTTTAATCAGAAGCACGCAGCCAACAAGTGGGTCTCCTGCACTGCCCCACAAGCAGAGGGACAAGTCACCCAGCAGCCTGCTGGAGGATGCCAAAGAGACCACTTTCACCAGGGACAGAAAAGGCGGCTTCTTCAGCTCCTTCATGAAGAAGAGGAATGCTCCCACACCTCCCAAGCGCAGTAGCTCCTTCCGGGAGATGGAGAATCAGCCCCACAAGAAATACGAGTTAACGGGTAACTTCTCATCTGTTGCTTCCTTGCAGCACGTGGATGGGTTCGCTTTTGCTCCCACACAGCAGGACGCAAACCTGGCACCACCCAAGTGCTATGGTGGGGGCTTTGTGCAGAGGACCTTCTACAATGACGATGGCACTGGTACCAGCAGCGGTGGGGGTGTGAGCACTGGTGGGGGGTGGTCTGGCATCACAGGTTTCTTTACACCACGCCTGATTAAAAAGACACTGGGTCTACGACCAGGAAAGCCCGCTGGCAATGAAGAAGCATCAAAGCCTTTTCCGAGGTCGAACTCTACATCTTCCATGTCCTCAGGGCTTCCAGAGCAGGATAGAATGGCAATGACCCTTCCCAGGAATTCCCAGAGGTCAAAAATCCAGCTGGAACGGACAGTGTCCACCTCCTCTCAGCCTGATGAGAACACAGGGAGGGCAAATGACCTGCTGCCCAAAAGGTTTGAAGAAGGTTCTGCTTTGACCAGAGAAAGACCAAAAGCAAAACTCTTGCCAAGGGGTGCCACAGCTCTCCCTTTCCGAACCCCCTCCAGTTCAGAGGAAAAGGAGATGCCAGGGCTAGCAGCAACTCCTAAAAGCAAAGAAAAGAACAGCAGCCCTCGGCAAGGGGCCCTCGAGGATGGCGAGAGACCAGGGTGGTCCTCTCCAGTAAAGGCTGCAGCAATACTTCCAACCACTCACAACCACAAAGTGCCAGTCCTAATCTCACCCACTCTAAAACACACTCCAGCAGATGTGCAGCTCATTGGCACAGACTCTCAGGGTAATAAATTTAAGCTCTTATCTGAGCATCAGGTCACTTCTTCCGGCGACAGGGACCGGCCCAGACGGGTAAAACCAAAGTGTGCTCCACCTCCACCACCAGTGATGAGGCTCCTACAGCAGCCAGCCGCCTGCTCGGATGCAGCAGAAGAGCTCAGCAACGCGGCGGGAGCGCAGCACGGGCTGGAGTCAGTCGAAGGGAGTAAGAAGGCAGCAGCAGCACCTGTCGGTGGGAAATCCGGGAGGCCCATGATGCCTCCACCTCAAGTGCCTCTGTCGTCGTCTTCCACCTCCCCAGTGAAAATGGCCAATGGCACAGCTGGCGCAAAGATAGCGTTAAGAAAGACCAAACAGGCAACTGAGAAAATCCCAGCAGATAAAATCAGCAAGGAAGCATTGCTGGAGTGCGCCGATCTTCTCTCGAGTGCCATCGCTGAGCCAACGCCAAACAGCCAGCTGGTGGACACAGGGCATCAGCTGTTGGATTACTGCTCAGGCTACGTGGACTGCATTCCGCATACACGCAACAAATTTGCCTTCCGGGAAGCCGTGAGCAAACTGGAACTCAGCCTGCAGGAACTGCAGGTGTCCTCAACAGCTGCTAGCATCCCTGGGGCAAACCCCGTCCTTAATAACTTATTGTCGTGCGTCCAAGAAATCAGCGATGTGGTGCAAAGGTAGCTACTGTCAATCTGGGTAAGAGAAATACACGTGGGGTGGGGGGGACTCTTTTCTGTACTGATGCTTTCAAAAGGAAAGACTGATACTTGAGTATGTGAAGTACCTCAGATCACTGAGTTCTCACGTTTACAAGTTCATCTCAGAAAATGGGGATGGAGAGGGTAGATTCAAGCTGTAAGGGGCAGAACATCAAGTATTTGTCCCTACCTTGCCAGTCTGATCTGCTCGGTTTGGCGAGGCAAGGAAGATCCTTGCTCCTCCCTTTGACAGGCAGGAGAATCGATGGCAGGTTCTCGCTCTGGGAAGGACGGTCTGGCAGCCGGAGTACTGGAGTGGCTGCCAGCCCCTTGGCTGTACAGACGCACCCCATCAGCACTAACACACGCTTTTGGGCTCCTGACAAGGCGAGGAAGGGCCCCGGGGCTCTGCTGGTACCAGCTGCTGAGCAGTCCTGGCTGGGCAGCTCTGAAGGAGCAGGCTGTGTGCAGCTGGGGGCAGGTCTAATGCACTGACAGTATTCAGAGCTGCTGGAGGTGGATGCACTAGCCTCAGTGGCTTACTTCCACAGTGCTGTTGCTGCTGTAATGAGAACTGCAAAGTTAGTTAATATATGAAATTATCCCTTTTCCCTCCTGTCCACCTCATCTTCCACATGTTCTCGTCTTCATTGTAGCTGAGGCATCAGGAATGCTGGGCAGACTTACCACTGGAATTACCCCCTTCCCACCATACTGCCTTCACACAGTTGATTCCTATTTCTAGTGGTCTAGCATGAGTGCTGCTTGATGGTCATTGGTTGTTGTGAGTAGTTTGGGGCTCTTACACAACTTGCCAGTGTTAATGGGATGGGGTGGGGTGTTTTTTGTTTTTTTTCTAAAGCTCTAGGTTGTTTTTAACTCCTGTTACCAGGTTGACTCCCCAGTTCAGTTTCAGCACCTTGAGGCCCGGGGGAGGCAAGGCAGAACCTCTGCCACCAGCAGCCCCTGGCTGCAATCAGCAGGCAGTGCTGGAGCCAGGAGAACAGCCTGGCCTGCCTGCAGGTCTCCCCGCACCGCTCCCTCCTCCTGACACAGCACAACCACATCACAGCACTTTCTGGGATTTGTTGCTTACCAGCCTTGCAGGCTTCCACTATCTGGGAGCGTGAAGGTGACTAGGTATGTCAACACGTGAGTCACAGCCCTCTATTTTTAGTTTATGTATTTTGACAACTGGACCAGAATCTTCTGCTGTGTAATCTGCATTCTGCCCAAAACGTGACAGAAGCGTTAGGGCTTCTTGGAGAGCTCCCACTGTAGTATGGCCTCTGCTGGTCTGCTGACAATCCCAGAAGGCAGGCAGTCATGTGGCTGGTCTCCTTCCGTCCTGGTGCTGTTGGTTGACTGTTGTGGCCTCAGAAAGCTGGTGTTCTGTGCATGTGCACAGCTCCCTGAGAGTTAAAGGACTGGCAAGTACAGAGACCTCAACTACTTGTTGGTTAGAGAGAAGAAGCAAACAGGCCTGATACCTGCATCCAAATACCCGTTACCCTGCATGCTGCTGCTCACTTCACACTATTTGTGATGACAGAGGATCTGGCTTGCTTTGCACCTTAAATCTTTTTTTTTTTTTTTTTCTAAACTGCTTTTTTAACTTGTTTTTAAAGCGTGACTGTGCTGCTTTTAGGTTGAGCATTTGGAGTTGAGCTGGAGCACAGGTGTGAATTCAGATGGTTGGCACTCAGGCATTCCTTGTCTGCCTCCAAGCATTGCCCTGTTGGTGCTCAGAAGCAGGCTGGACCTCTTGGCTCATGCCACTGTTGTTTCCATGGAGCACGGTGAGGTGTGGCCTGAACCATTCTTAGTAATGTGCCCGTGTCTGAGAATCCTCATATTATTGACTAGTCTGTGGTAGATAAAGTTGTGTGTCACGCTGCATGAATGTGCACCAGTGGAGCAGTATGCGAGGTGAAATGGACCACGTGTGCTTCACTGTCAAAGTGGGTGAGATAATGAAAAAAACCAAACAATCCTTCCACCCCATTCAGTAGGTATTAAGGTGAATGAATCGTTCCTACAAGTCGGCAAGCTGATCCCTTTGTGGGTTAGTCATCCTTACCTTGTGGCACCAAGCCCACCTGGAAGAGCCTGCTGTCTCATTCTGCGAGATTTCCAGCTTGTCCTGGATCTACTCTGGGTCTTGCACTTCAGCTGCAGGTCCCTGGGGCAGTTATTCAGCAGGGAGGCAGAGCACCTAACAGTTATCTTGTAGACTTTACCGAGGGCTTTTGTGGTTTACCTTATCTGCTTCAGTCATCTCTATTGAACGTGTGCATCACTGCACACCAAATTAGCTGCCTTTGGAAAGCTGACCTGTAAAGGGAAAAAATCTTAAGGCGTTGCTTCATGTTGCCTTCTTAACAATCAGGAGGAGTGCAAGGGTATGAGAGCTTTCTTGGTGTCAGAAAGGCTGGTCCTGTTTGCCCTGCAGACAATCGTGTGGTTTCATCACTGTACTGCTTTTCAGCCCAGTAAAAGCCGACTGGAACTGAAGTGGTTATTCTCAGGGGAAAGGTATTTTAACCAGAACGTTTTAAAAGTGTTATTCCAGTTCTGCTGAGTATTTTAAAAGAAGCTTTTTAAAATTTATTTTTTCCTGAATGTAGGTCTTCCAGAAAAGCTCCTGCAAAAGTGATAGAATAGCAAACAGTTCCTGGAATTTTTAATTAATAGAACACACCCCTTTCCACTCTTTCATACCCTGCTTAAGAAACAAACTGTGCCCCTGCAAAGGGCTGGCTACCCTCCCCATGTCTGCTTTCTTTGAGTGCCGCCTGTTTTTCCTCCCCCCCAGAGGTAGCTGGCAGGGACACAGCTGTGGGCAGTTAGAAGAAGCAGAATTCACCTGCTCTCCCAGGATCACAAACGGCTGGGGCAGCTTCTCTCCCACCATTACACGTCCTTTCCCTCTGCTAGATTTGCCTTTCTGTTCAGCCTTAAAGGTCTCAACCGTAGCAGCTTCTCTGCTTTCAGCTTTGCACACAGTCTGTGTCAAGTACTGTATGGATGGCAAAGCCCCGTTACTTCTTCCAGTGAAGAGCATCTCTTGCTCCAGCCTTTGTGGATAAGACAACCTCCTCTTGTGTTTCCTTTCTTCACTGCTGTGAGAAGGCCTCGTGTGGTAAAGATGCAAATGCAGCTGGGCTTTCCAACTTGCACTACTATGGCCTAGAATTGAAGGCAGTCATCTTTGCAGCAGGGGTGGCAAACCGTAGGGACCTGGTGATGGCAAGCTCAGAGCCCAGAGCAAGGCAGTGGGGGGAATTTCTCTCCCTAGCTCCCAGGGGAGCAGCCGACCCGCAGGTGCAGCTTTCTGCACTGTATGCCCTTCTTAACCCTGGGCGCAGTGCACTTGGCTGGCTGGGTTGGCAGCACACAACTGGCTGTTCTTCTCACCAGTGCTGGCAGGACTGAATTAAAAGCTTTGGTTTTAGGACTGCATCAAACAGCTGGGAGAGCAGAGCTAAACAGAGCAGCACTCCTGATGCAGAACACGGGGCTGTTCTCTCTGTTCCTTATCCTCACAGAAGAGGCTTCTCCTGAGCACCACTGGCCCAGTGTCAGCAGGGAGCAGCTGGTGTAAGTGGCCCGTGGGCCCTGGGGTACTCTCAGGCCCGGAGCTTAGAACAAACCCTCAGCCTGTTCCCTGGTGGTAGGAAGTGACAGCTTCTGGGACGTATCTGCAGTACCTGCAGAGTGAGATATACCCGTACCAAAGGAGGTCATCTTCCCAGCATGGCTGCTGTGCACGAGGGTGTAGAGCCCGCTCAGCATGGCATGCTGTGGGCATCAGTACTGAACTCACAGAGGGCAGGAATGGATTAAAATCAAACGCATTAATCACCAATCACTCTACAGTGTTGTCAACTGTTTTGTTTTTAATTGTTATTGTAATATATTTTGGTTGTTTTTCTAATTTAATTCTCTCACTATCGTCTGACTGTGAACTGCGAACAGTGTTAAACTTGATGTAAATAAGGCCCTCAGAAGGGCCTCTTTGCCTGTCGTTCCACAAAGTTTTGCCAATTTGCATTTTGTTTTAAATAAAGGTTGCAATATTTTATTGGCAAAAAAAACCCACCTTGCCTAGACATTGCTTTATTTATCTAAAGCATGTTTTAACCTGCACTGTACTGTACCCAAAGCCAGTTAACTCAAAAAACCAAAACTTTGCTGACCTCACGCTGGCTTACACAAGTGACCAAGCAGATCAGCTGGTTGTAAAGCAGAGCCTGAACTGTGCTGTTCTGCAGGGCTGCATCCTCACTGAAGAGCTGCTTTCCCTCAGGCACCTCTGCTGTTCCCAGGACTGATGTGTGTGATGAAATGACCACCCATCAACCAACTCTGAGCAATGCCTGATAAAAGTAGACCTAGCACTTAGGTCCAGCCTTGAGTCAGCAGCCAGGCTGAAGCTAACTTTGTACAGAGAGAAGGAAGACAAGCAGCTCCCTGGCTCACTGCTCCCTGCCTTGGACCACACAGCCTCATTAGATCGGCGACCTCAGAGGCTGCAGAGCAGTGCTCAGCCTGTCCCTGGAGTTGTGCTGCTCATCACTGGCACTGCTGAGAGGTTCCAAGCTTAAAATAGACCAAAGGTCCGCACATGAGGTAGCTGAGCCGTCCTTGGCAGCTGCTGATTCACCTCACCGTGCAGCAGCTGTGTTGGAAGGGAGTTTTGACCTCGAGGTCACAAAGTGATTCTTCTATCACTGTTGAAATATTTTGGTCCATTCTTATCACCTGGCAAGTACCCAGACAGCAAACAGCCCCTTGGTGTAGTAATGCTGATACCAGCCAAAACCCCACAGCATGCAACATACTGGGGGGGGGGAAAACTATCTTATTCCAGCTCTGAAAACCAGAATTCAACTGCAACCTGTTCTTTCACCCACTGTCCTCCTCATCTGCCCTTTGCCCGTGTCTGTCTCTCCCCAAACCAGTTCCTGCAATGCAGCAAACATGCTCTTCACCAAACGGCTCAGGGAAATGATTCCAGCAGGAGCTCACCTCATCCCACAGCTGCTTCCATGGAACAAAGACCAAGAGAGGGGAGAGAAGGTCACTCCAAAGGAAAAGGCTATAGGTTTAAAATCTCCAGTGGAGATGAAGCAGTCATTTTCTGTATGTGACTGAGGAAGCTGTGGACAGGGATGAGGCCGTGGCTTGTGCTGGATCAGTCTGGCCTGGGCCTTTGCTTACTGGCAACAAACTGGCAATACCCCACTCACACGAGACTAAGCATCTATCAGCACAACCAAACCACTGCTTCAGGGTAGGAGGAGGGAGTGAGAAACACCACGTGGACTTAAAAACCCAGCCGAGCTCAGCCTGCTGGCACTCCAACTGCACTTCCTTCCCTGTGAGCAGCCCTCAGAGTAATATGGAGTTCAGTTCCTGCCCCTGTGCAGGGGTGATCTGCTTGCCTGACCTTGTGCAAGGAGAGCAGCTCCTGGTGTATGGAATCAGCTTCACCAGCGATGTAGTCCCACCTGGTGTTCAAGGAAGGAAGTAATTAATGCGCTGTGATACAGATTTACAGCCTTGTGCAGAGAAAAGCTTCTCCTCCTTGGGGACAAACACCATCATCCTGGCAACCTCATCAAGGGCTGCCTCTGTGTAGGGAAGTCCACGGGCCAGGAACGCATCCCGCGCGCAGAGCTTCACGTGGTGGTACTCCAGAGGTAGGAATGGCACAAAGAAATCAACCAGGTTCTCTTCAAGGAGATGGCTGCGGGCAAAACCATTCTCTGCAGCAAAAAGCAAGACAAAGCAAACTTCAGCCACCTGAGAGCTGGCAGCTCTGGGGCTGAAAGGGAGCAAAATTGGCTTAGCTCCTCTTCCGATGTGCCTTGCTGCCATGCTCACTAGGCTGAGCTATGTGGAAGAAGGGAAGGGTATATCAACACTCTTCCAGATGTTCCTGCAGCACAAAGCTCATAAAAAAGTCCCAGCCTGGTGCTCAGGGGCAGGTTTGCGACTGGGTAGGCTGCCTGCTACAGCGGCCCGGCTCCTACCTGCAAGCTGCAGCATCTCCAGCCGCAGCTGTTGCTCCAGGAGCTCCATGGGAATCTCCTCTCGTGCCCGTCCAGCTCTCCAGAAGTCCAGGGTGACCTCATTGATGGCACTGCCACCAATATTGCTGCAGACAGAAGAGAAGTCACTCCACCATGCTGCCAGGCTCAAATTGCTCAGAGCTGCCAGCAGCCTCCTCTATAGGCAGAGCTCAGCAGTTCTGTTTACAACAAAGCAACCACTGTGCCCAGTCAGCACCTGAAACAATCGCCCAGATGAATGGTGTTCTGAAGGAATCTGTACAGCATCTTCCATCTTGCCAACCCAGGCCTGGGGCAGCTGCTTGCTCTTCTACATGGGGCCAGGAGCCAATGGAACCTCTGTTTCTACCAGTACCCTGCCCTGTCTGGGAAGCCACTGACCCCTCAGGTGACACTTGGCTCCAAGCAAACCCTCAGTAAGCCACTGCCAAGTCCACGCCAGAGGCCACAGAACATGGCAGGAGCTCCATGAGAAGAAAAGGGTCCAGGACAGGAACCTTGCCTGGTGGGGGATGCAGGGTCCAGGCAGCCACCGAGGCTCCCAGGACAGCCCCCACACCTCAGAAGGCAGCCCCTGGTCTCAGCACCCTCCCACCAGGGAGCTGGTGTTGCTGGGAACCAGCTGCGGTTGCCCAGAGATGGGGAGGAAGCCTTGTCCTTGGAGACACCCAAGGTCAGGATGGATGAGGCTCTGAGCACCTGATTTACCTGTAGGCATATCTGTTCACTGCGAGGGAGTTGGGCCAGATGACCTTTAAAGGTCCCTTCCAACTCTAATGATTTTGTAATTCTATGTGGGGGACTTGGGTCTCATACCTATCTTTCCTCGTGCGTCAGAGACTACAGACACATTCCACAGATGGTGGGAAGGTAAAATGAAGAAGCCATCACCACCTCCCTTTGCCACCTTGCCAGCACAGCTCATACCCATCCTAATCCCTTCGGCTGAGCAGTGGCCATTTACTCAAGCCCAGCCACAGCTGCAAATCCAGGCCTCCTCCAGACAAGGCTGGGCCAGAGCCAGCCCTTCAACAACAGGTCTGTGTCACACTGCCACCAGACATGATGAAACCCCCCCCAGGACTGATTGCACACCGCTGCAGTTCATGACGCCCTGCTCTCTCTGCTTGATGACACAAAGGGGCTGACGTGGGCATAGGGTTGTGCAGCATGCCAGGTAGGTGGACCAAGGCACCACCGCACAACTGGCAGCACGCCTACTCTGCCCAGAGTGGACAGGACACATCAGGTCAGCCCTGTAGCACCAGGTCCAGAGTCAGGTCTTCTACGAGCAGAGAAGCTTCCCTAGGGAACCGCTGAGCTTGGAGGTCAGCACGCTCGCCTGGATGGCGTGAGGTGGAGGTACAACTTCCCTTTCAGACAGAGGGAGGAACTGTTTCCCCACGTACCAGGTGGAAAAGTGGGACCTGTCCACATGGCACAGCCACATCCCATAAGGACCTGCAGTCCTGGCCATGCTCCCTGCAGTGCAGGATCTCCCTGCTCGGTCATAAAAGGTGCAGGATGACACCACACTATCTCTGAACCTCACTGGTGCCCAGGCACCAGCTCAGCTAGGCCTCAGCTCCTCAGCAGCAACAAGGAAAGCTGGCCATGGAGGCAACCACCCTTGGAAGAGCTGGGCATCTCCTCCCCCAACTCTGCATTCCAAGTTATATCACACACTTTCAGGAGCTTTGTGCCTCCCCACGTCTTTGGAAGTTACCTGAGGAAGAGGAAGATGGATCTCCGGTTATCTTGCCGGCCCTTGTCAGAGCGAGCCATGAAGGGCTTGATGACTTCCAGGAGGCCAAAATGAAGCTTCTCTGCCTCATCAAAGATGAACAGTGACTGCTTGCAGAGCTGCACAGTCTCACTTATCTGCTTCTCCAGCTGAACCTGCAGAACAGTGGGCAGGAGTGAGGTGCCAACAACAGGAGACAGCATAGAGACTGGGCCTACCCCAGACTCCCTCCCCTCAGCTTTTGCTGCTGAGCATAATGGTATACGGGACATCCCTTTGGTGAGCTGTCCCTTTTGTACCCTTTCCCAGTTTCCTGTGCACCCCCAACCTACTAGCTGAGGGGCAGAGCGGGAAAAACAGAAAACCTTGAAGCAGTGCCCACACTCAGATCAGTAACAGCTAGAACAGCAGTGTTACTAGCTCTGCTTCACCCACAGACCTAAAACACAACACAGTGCAGCTGGTACAAAAAAAAAAAGAAAAAAGCAACTCCATTCCAGCTAGACCCAGTACACCAAGACACCACCAGCTCTCACCTTGTAGGAGTCCACGTACTTGTGGTGGGGGAAGTGGAAGAGCGCAATGAACACCCTGACACATTCACTCTTCAGCCCGTCCCTGTACAGGTGAGCAGCCACCATGCGGGCCACAAAGTTCTTGCCTGTGCCAGACCAGCCATGGAAGGAGAGGACCAGAGCCTTCTGAGGCTGCGGGCTCTGCAGGAACCCTCGCACCGCCCGTATGACAATTTCTTTGGCCAAGTGCTGCCCGTGGAGATGCTCATGGAGGTCCAGTTCGAGCCCTGAAGGAAATACAGCAAAAGCTCAGCCTTTACCTAGAAACCCAGTTGCCGCTGCTGGGAATATGAGAAGACATTGCGCAGCAGCAAGCCCACACAGCCCTGCTGATGGGACTCATATCCAAGAGGAGCATTGAGCTGACATTAGTGGTGCAGGGTTAACATGGCAGGATGCTCGCAAACCCTGTGCCCTGCTCATATCTGCCACTGACTGCAAAAAGACACAGATCTTCTGCTGACTCCTTTTTTCCTTTGGAAATTGGAGAAAGCATCTGATGACTACACAGGGCTCTGAAGCCCCAGTCCTTTCTGTAGCATTTCCTGTACACCATGTCCATGTACCCCCAGCAGCCTGTACAGAGAGCAGAAGTTTCAAGGGTAGCAAATGAGTGACACCTGCATGGGGCTTGCACACAGGTCCAGGGACACTTTCCTGTCCCGGGGCCAGACAGATCCCTGTGCACATGGAATGCCAGATGAAGGCAGGGCTGGTGCAAACCACAGCACTGCACTGCACAGAGCATGCTTTCTTGCAGTCCAAGGACTGCAAATGAGTGACAAGAAGCAGGACTTGGCTCAGTCCCTCCTCCCCCCAGAAATGCCTTTTACATGCATCACTTGCTAAAATGGGCTTTTTAAAATGACAACAACAAAGGAAACAGCAGCACCCACCCGTGACGTTGTTGATGATCTGGCAGTCTCCTGTCTTGCAGCACTTGCCAAAACTGCAGTACCAAGCAGAGAGGATCTCCAGGTAATCCTGGCCCACCAGAGGCAAGCTCCAGCCTGCAAATGTCAGAGCAGAGACAAGCCTCATTCTCGCACTGTGCACAGGCACCCAGGTGTTCCCAAGTTAACTGCCACCCTGCCGAGGTGCAAGGAAGCAGATGGGGAGAATGATAACGAGCTGCAGCTAGCTCCATGGCAGACAGGTGCACCGGAGACAGAGCCCGGGTGAGCATGAGCAGACTTCCCTCCCCAGCACAACGCATGCTGAGCAATGGGGAGTCCCTTCCCACAGAGCTCGTGGGTGCTGGGGGTGCAGACCCCACCACTGCTCCCCAGGCACAAGAGAATTAGGAGCTTACCTGGGCCGGGGCTGGTTCTTTCCTCCTTCCCGCAGCCCTCGTGCCACACCTTGCAAGCCAGGTACTGCCAGTACTGCTTGGAGAGAGCTCCCACGGTTCCCAGCTGCTTCTTCACCGCCTCATACCTCGCTCTGCCCCACGGTGCCGCCTCCGTCACAGCGCTCTGGCGCTCCTCCAGCAGCCCCCGCTGCTTCCCACTGCTCCCCAGCCCCCCGTTGTCCCCCAGCAGCAGCAGCAGCAAGCAGCAGGCCGGCCCCAGGCAAGACAGCAGCGTGCCCCGTCCCATAGCCGCGCGGACCTCTTGCGCGGCCGGGCTGGGTGCCCGCGGGTTCCCGTCCCGCCTTCGGAGCGCCGGAGCTGTGAGCTCACTTCCTGCAGCCGTGAAATACGCGGGCCGGGGGCACGACCAGCTGAGCCCAAGCGGGACGGCCTGCCCCGCTGGGCCGGGCACGGCTCCTCCTCCAGCAGCACGCAGCAAAACCCGGCCCCGCGGATGGCCGCTGTGCGCACGGCTGCAGGGACGCCGCGGGGACGGGCGCCCAGAGCCGGGCAGCACCGCGCAGCTGCCGCTGAGCGTTCACACGGGCCGGTTTTGTTTGCGGGGATTGGATTTTCCCTGCGGCGTGCTCGGGTGCGAGTTTAGCAGGAAAACGTGACTGCAGATGAAACACGCAACTCCAAATGCTGCCAGAGACACGAGGTGGGGCTTCGGGAAGCGCCCTGCCCGCCTCCGGGCTCGCCGTTCCCAGCACGCAGCTGGCCGCGTTGCTCAGCGGCGTCATTTCCAAGGGGCACAGAAATGACGAGGGGACACGAACGGACTCAGAACAGCTGCGAGGTGCTCCTGGGGACTTCTGCTGGGGTTCAGCCTGCAGATCGAGGCTCTGGGAGGAAGGACTTTGGTCGCTGGCTCTGGGATGGGTTTGCTGTGCGTGTATCTATACTAAGGTTCCACTTAGTAATTCTTCCATCAGTGCATCTTTGCACACCAGTGCATGCAAACGGCAGCAGATGGGGTGGGTTCCACGCGAGCAGCCGGGAACGAAGTTCAGATCAGCACACAACCACCACGAAATCACATCAGAGAACAGCAGTACAACCCCTTAGCACCAACAACCAGTTTTCTGCAGCGAGCTGCAAAAGCAACGAGCTGCACAGGGCAGCTGCGGGCTGCCAGGCCTTAGGGCTGGCTGCTCTCACTAAAGCAGGAGACTCTGGGACCCCGAGCAAAGCCTGCGTTTGGTTTTGGGAGGACATAATAGAGGAAGGGCACACTTCTGACCTCTAAAAGAGGAGCAGTCAGTGCTGTCATGCCATGTGCACAAACTCAGCTGTGCAGGGGAGATGAGAAGTGGATAAGCCACCTATAACTTGCATTCTACCCCCATGCTGGACCCACTGCTGGCTTACTGTAAAGAACTAACAACTACATGAGTTGGTGAGCATCAGGACACCCACAACTTACCCTAACCAAGACAAGGCCGAGACGTGCTGCTTCTGATATGGACGAATGTCAAGTTCATCTTGAGTGCTCAGGAAAATGAAGTGGATCCTGAAATGCAATTCACTCAATCCAGGTGATGGGGAGCAGGATTCCAGCGCCAGCACGGCGTGGCATGGAGCACATCTCCATCTACAGGTGGTTATAAATACTGCAAATCTGCATCAGAAGGATTCTGCGTTGATTAATGTAATTGCTCCAGCTTAAAAAATTATTTGTGAGGTTAAAACCTTAACACTAGATGCTATAACTAAAACAGAACTAACATCAGTGCACATTAAAAAAAAAAAAAAATAAGCAAAATTAAAAGCACTGTAGCCACAGTGCCATCAGCTAAGGAGAGCCTATCAGAAGAGACAGGCTTCCAAGAGAAATAGATGCTCCCATGTTCCCAAAAAAGGGTTTGAAAAATAGAATAGGAAAGCTATGTCCCACAGCAACACCAGCCCCACAGTGCTACAGCACAGCTTCTGGCGTGTCACCTTCACTTAAGCGTGGCACACTGCAGGAGCTAGAGGGGAAAAGAGTCGCTGTTCAGTAATCTGCCAAATACACGCACCCTGTCTGACCAGGTTCTGAGGTTCAAAAGGCACTGAAGCAAAATAAGATGAAGTAACATGAGGAAAAGAAACAAAACAAAAATCCACCCTTCCTGAATAATTCAGTTCCCTCTGCAGGGCCTCAGGCAGGAAGCGATGCCCAAGGACTAGATGGGAGCGTGCAGAAGGCTGGACAAATGGCTCACAGAATCACAAGGTTGGAAACGACCTGCAAGATCATCCAGTCCAACCACCCTCCCATTCCTATCAGTACCACAAGCACTAAACCATCTCTCGTAGCTCCTCATCCAGGCGCCTCTTGAACACTGCCAGGGATGGCGACTCCACCACCTCCCTGGGCAGCCATTCCAGTGCCTGACCACCCTCTGAGAGAAAAAGTTTCTCTTAATATCCAACCTAAACCTCCTCTGGTACAACTTCTTGCCATTTCCTCGGGTCCTACTATTTGCCTGGGAGAAGAGGCCAGACCCTTTTGCACCACAACCTCCCTTCAGGAAGTTGTAGAGAGCAGTGAGGTCTCCCCTGAGCCTCCTCTTCTCCAGACTGAACAATCCCAGCTCCTTCAGCCTCTCCTCATAAGACTTGTCCTCCAGACCCCTCACCAGTTTCGTTGCCCTTCTCTGGACACGCTCCAGGGCCTCAATGTCTTTCTTGTAGTGAGGGGCCCAAAACTGAACACAGCACTCGAGGTGCAACCTCACCAGTGCTGAGTACAGGGGGATGATCACCTCCCTGCTCCTGCTGGCCACACTATTTCTAATGCAGGCCAGGATGCCGTTGGCCCTCTTGGCCACACTGTCGGCTCATGTTCAGCCGAGCATCAACCAACACCCCAAGGTCCCTTTCCTCTTCACAATCATCCAACCACTCATCCCCAAGCCTGTACCTGGCCTGGGAAGCACAGCACTCAGTGCCCCAGTGCAGCTGGCTGGGACTTCATTGCTTTTTTTCCTCCCTCTACTGAGTCTTGGGAGTTTGCTGTAGCAGCCTCCAGCTGCTCTCACAGCAGGAAGACAGCTGCTGGGGTTTGCCCAGTCCCAGCATAACACTGGGATGTGTGACTTCACCTCGCTGTTATTCCACAGCAGTCCTGGTGAGCGACATCCATCTGATTAAAAATCCATGATCTCGAGTCAAGCTGGGCCTTACACTGCAGAACATCTGAAGAGAATGGGAGAAAAGCACTGCAAAACAAGTAGTTACATCTGCCTTATTCAGCACTCCTGGCAACTCGGTGCAAGCACTCAGAGCAAAGCTTGCCATCAGGATTTTATCCTACAGCTGTATCTGCTGGATGGGGAAATGCTGAGCATCCATCCTTCTGTGGTTTGAATCAGTAAGTAAAAGGAAGATCTGGACTAAAGGAGATCCCCGTTCCCATTAATCTGTTTGTTCCTACAAAGTCCTGTCCCCAGCCTCCTAAAAATATTGACACTACAAAGGAGAAGCAGCAAAGGGATACGTGAAGAATGAACCTACTTTTTTTTCCTCATTTCTACATTTTAGAAATGTGCAGGGAAAGAACTTGAAAAGTGCTAGTTTTCAAAACCATTTTCTGGCTCAAAGTTTTCTTTGTGTATTCTTCTGCAAAACTGTGCTCATTATATAATCAGAAACACTTTAAAACCTTCCACCACCGCTAAGCCCAACCGCACCGCAGCAATAAGGGAGTAGTACAACAATGCTGTCATAAAAACTCTCAAGATGAACTATTTCAGCCTTTCAAAACTTAAAAGCATCTGCAATGTTTACCAGTTATTGACCTGCTTGTATACAAAGAACTGTGTCCCATTCGTGGCACATGTCCCATTCTGACATCTCACAGATAGAAATAGGAGATATGAAAAACTGTCACCACACAATGCTGGGAGCTATGAAAACCCCAGGACTGCTCCCAACAACAATGAAATCCCAAACCAGTTCTAACAGAAATCAGCAATGCTGAATTCCAAGCTTTCAACTGAGAAAATGCAATTCAAGAAAAAGTAGGAGCTTCTGGTGGCTGAGCATGGCAATGCTGCTGATGCTCCAGGGCAGGTCAGAGACCAGCCCTGCATTTCCACAAGCACAGTGCTTTGGCCATTTCAGGGCACTCCTGTGCCCAAAGCCACGGGCCAGCACAGCTCATGCAGATGTCACAAATACACAGCAGCTCCCAGAGGTTTCCTTTGCTTCCAGATGCCCGACACTGAGAGCTGTGAGCATCCCCTCCTACCTCTGAAATGCTCACAACTGTTTTACTGTTACAAAAACAAGGTCTGAACCAGCTAGGTCAGTCCCTGTGCTCTGTGGGAACAGATCTTTGATAGCTGTTTATTTGCCCCTTCTCATAACAGGGCTTCAATAAGAGCTCAGGGAAGCCAACCACAAACGCATGCCAATTCTATATGCATCTGTTGCCAAATGAATACACACTCCTTGCTCTGTACAACAAATCCAGCCTAGTGGGACACAACCAAGACATCAGCCTGCATGCTTGGCACAAGCAGGGCTCTGGAACATGTTTTCTAAAGCTAAAAAAACAATACCCATTTTCTTCCCAAAGACCAGTTAAGCCTAGGTATGTTTTGTTTAGCATCGCTTTGGAACACTCTTCTTAAGCACAACCTTCCCTTACCAGCTCTTCCAACCAAGCTGCACATATGGCCCCACTCTTGAAAATACACTTCTGGAATAAACGCCACTGATAAATATCAGTGAAGGAATAACCATGAAACACCAGCAGTAAAACAATTCAAACATTCAACTCAGTACATGCTGGAATGAGGGGAGGGGGGGCGGGCTGGGAGAGAGACTTAAACAATCCATCAGCACTGCTTTATTAAAATCTTTATTCACACAATGTTCCTTTATGCAGAACCCACCCCTTGGGGATACAAGTAGAAAGTTGTGATTGCACTCTGTTTTCTCATTAGCAACCTCCATTTGTGCAGCTGTTCCCAGGGGCAATCCTCTGACAGCTCCAACAGGGGTGTCTGTTTCAAGCATCTTGCTCCAGCTGCCACAGCAAATAAATTACCTTCTTAATAAATTATTATTTTTCAGTTGAAGTTTGTTTGGCAAGACACACTCCAGTTCACTAGCTGTTGGAAGAGGAGCCAGTCTCAGGGGCTCCTCCAGCCCAAGTGCTGACTTAGGAAGGAGGAGACAGAGCATCATCAGCCATCTGCTGTTTCTTTTTAATTAGTTCTTGGTTTCTGTGCTTCAAGCGCTCTGCCACCACTAC